CCAACGACTCTGCAGAATCGAAAAGATATCCGTTTTTCGTCGACTCCACCAGTTCTGCGATGCAGTCATACGAGATGGCAAGAACGGGTAGGCCACAACCTAAAAGATCACACAGTAAACAGTGGACTTGCAATGTACATAAAGGGCGATTACCAAACATGTCGACTACTTTCATTGGCAAGTCCATTCCGGAACTAGAGTAATGAAGACATATTCCAAGATCAGCACAAGCTAGAAGTTTTGGGTAGTCCTCGGCATTCAGCCACAATGTGACAATCTCGACGCATTCCAAATGAAGTGAAGCAAAAACCTGCTCATAATGACTTTTCAGCGGCCCTTTACCGGTAACGGCAACAAGCAAGTTGGGAAGACGCTTGACTTCGCCAGAAACGAGGATTTCGTTGTACAAACGCAACGCACCTAGCAGCAGATCAAAGTTTTCGTCCGGAGTCCAGCTTGTTGACGTCACCACTAAACATCTTCTCCCGATAGCCACTTTCGAAACATTTACCACTGCTCTGTCCGTGACGGATAAATCCCTAAAGGCAATAATCTACCTCATAACAGTTTACTGCTGATCACACAATTTCATTAACTATAGAGTTAAATGAAATAAATAAATTTACTGACTATTCTATCAATCTAAATTTATTAACACCGGCAATTTACACGCTGGTAATTTATCTTATTACCATTATTTGTCTATATAGGAAACGATGAGATCGTTTTGGATGTAAAACAGTCAGACTCTCTGCTGTATTACTGCTTGTAAATTATCCCTGATACTGGCCTCTATGCCAGAGGGCGAAACGTGAGACTGAGAGAAGAGTCCTGTGTGATGTCTAAAGCCATTGGATGTATTGAAAAGGTGAAGAGTTTTAAACAACGTTTACGTATTGTTTGATATTCCGAAGATATCAAATATTAAAACAACTGCAGCAGCAAAAAATAGATAATAAAGCACTTTTCTTCTCGGGCATAAATAAATGGTTCGCTGTCATAAGCAAATTATAAAAATGCAAAAATTATTAAATAAGTAGACATGGATAAGTCAGGTTCATCAAAAAAAAGCGGACTGTTGACGTGACCTCACTACATCTGCAACTTCGTTTACCTTTCTATCTTTATTGCACGCCTAACTACTTTTTATATGCACGAAACTCATTGTAAAAAACACTAATTCTACAAAAACAGAGAGCTGAGAAAATGAGGCGAATGGTGTCTGACGAACAGGAAATGACAGAGGGCGACAGAATTCGACTATCTATTAAAAGCCAAGCAAAGAATCAAATTTAATTAAAATCTATTAGACAGACGCATTTGCACCTGTTCAGTCACTAACCATGAAAAAGAACACAGAGTAAGACCAAAGTTAGTCTTAATGCGGGTGCAGTCACTGCTTCTTCCGGCAGAGTTGCGCTTTCGATTTTGAGAAAGTGTCTTACGTAAAATACAGCATTAGTGCCATAAGGCATGAGGTCAGGTAGAAAAAAATCATCAGCAATCGGTCATTACAATTATTTGGCGTACTTCATTACTTGCAGATACATCGGAAATCAAAAACCAGAAAAGTTCTGCTTATAGAATCAACTGAATGTGATAATCTCAACTAAATGCATGGCGTACTTGAACCAGTCCATGGTTCTCTTGTATTGAAATATGTAGATGTAAAGATTTGTAGATCAAGCAACAATGAACCAAACATCATAATAGACGTCTACCTGAACTGTGGATATGACTGACCAATCTTGACAAGGAAACGATGTTGGTCATCCTTGCCCATTGATCTAAAGGCATCAAACGGTCTGTCGTAGAAAGTAATGGCATTTATGTGATGAAACCGCAAGTCTTGTCGCATTGCATTTGTAACGCACAGCCCACCGTCACTCATCTGGCCAAAGAACACTTCATACTGCTTCACCAACTTCACGAAAAAACTTTCTAAACAAAAACTGTGAAACATAATTGGTTACAAATTTAGCTAAAGATATGGATATAAATTTAACACAGCAAGTGTTAACTTAACATGATAACATCTGCAAATCATGAATGAACTAATTATGCTAATTTAAAACTACTTCACAGGTTACTTTGGTACTATTTACACCGAGACTGCTCAGTCGGTAGGGCGGCTCTCTGAGAACCCAGAGGTCACGGCTTCAAGTTAAGGTGGAATGACACGACTTTCTTCCTTCAGACATCGATGAATGTGTACCACTCTGCCGGAGGTCAAATCAAAATTACAGGCTATACTGGCTACATAGCTGCTGTCGACTCCGCCTTTAAAAAAGGCACTCCTACTTGATGGAACGAAAATGGTGATCAGGGCTCAACGATTAACTTATAAGTAAAAAAGGTCTCATCATGAAACTGTAAGGAAAAACGACCTTCCTCCTTTTGGTATCATTCTAGCAAACCGTACCTCTAGTACCACTTTAAAGCATTTAGGATATTAACGTTGCATCATCTTGAGATTTCTTCCTTCCATTTGTTATTTCACAGTGTTTTATCATTGTCATCTTGCTCACAGTTGCCTTGGAGTCACTTTAACTACACCATAATTGCATATAATATAGCATTTGACGTACATTCATCACTTTATGGGATGTAGAGC